TCCCACCAGCGCCAGGTCGGTTGCGCTGTTCAGCTAGAGTGCGCTGGGAGCCCAGGATGCATTGGGAACGCGCCTACCGAGAGAAGTCGCATGATTCCCTACGATTCACCCGTCGAGTTCCTCACCCGTCCCAGGACTTGACTGTGGTGCAGTTGGTCTAACGGGACGCTGAGAAGAAGGCCGACCTACCCCCGATGCTGATGCTGGTCATCACAAACTCACCTGTCGGTCTGGCTCCGGGAGGTAGCCCTGCCCGATGAAATCGTCTAGCCGACCAGGGCGTTGGGGCCTTGTGGATCCTCGAGACCGACGACGACGCTCGAAATTGTAATGAACAGCAGGAGGAGTGGACTGTGGGAAAAGGAACCTCGCATATCGTCCGAGTGTATAGTAATACCGATTCCTCTTGGGAGCCCGACTGCTCCATCACGTCGATGTGCTGGATGGTGAGCTCCTTAATGGTAGCCCGCTCCTGCTCCTTCTTCTGTCGATGCTCTTCGTACTCAGCCTGGCCTCGTAGCAATCTCGATGATAACGGTACTGCTAGGCCAATGACCCCACCTATTCAACGAGCCATGACGACACAGAACAACCTGCTGCTACCCCTCACTTCCGGCAGTCGACACACCCTTCTTGTTAGTGCGCATTACGAACTTCATCATGCCTGCTGGTCTCGATGCCTCGCTAGGTGGCGATTGAGATCCACTCTTTTTGGACTGAATACAAAAAGGCAACTCCTCACTATGAGAAGCTCTTGAGTTCCTCACCAGCTCAGCCACCCGTACTGTCGACAGAGCCTGCCGTAGTCGGTCGTCCTGCAAACTGCGCAGCGGGGCCTATAGTAGAAGAGAAAGAATGAGGGGAGCCGCCACGATTCGCTGAGTACCTGCTGTTGGCGTTGAGATCGACCGTATGCCACTGATTCCGATAGGAGTTCTTTGAAGCCCCTGTCGAACTCCTCATCCATCAGCTCCTGAGGGGCGATTAGTGTGTTTATCGAGAAGAGGGCCGACTCACCTTCTCCCTCAGTTTTTCATCCTCATCGTCATCGTCATCATCCTCCTCTTCAAAGCTATCACTTGCCATACCATCCCTCTGTGAACTCGATCCATATGCCTACATAGGGCAGTGTATTCACCAACCCCAACCATCAGCTGTTACATCGTCGTCCTCCCCTTCTTCTTCCTCCTCCTCTTCCCCCTCCTCATCGTCATTGCCTCTATCATCAATTTGCTTTCCTTCCCGCAGAGCCTCACCCTCCGTAACGAGCAGCTTATGGAGCTCCTGCACGCATGAACAACATGCTCCGGCCGACACCTCTAGCGAGTACTCACCTTATCCACGTCAGTCAGAGAGGACACTTTCCCATTGAGTACCGACGGCTCCTCTTCCTCCTCATTTCCCTGACGTTAATCCCCTCCCATTCACTCCAGTTACCACTCCTCCCTCACCTTCCGTCGACGCCTTCTATCTCGGCGCGATTTGTGCGATGAAGTTGGGTGTATTGCATCAAGTGTATCCAAGTACATGTTCTCAATCCTTCTTGGCAGCTCCATCCCAGCCGAGGCAGACCTTGCCAACAAATACCTCTAAAATCAACAAGGAATTTCTCACGGCGTCGGCTCCTATGATCCGTTCTTACTCTGAAGAAAAGCATGAAGCGTTGAAGTCTCTCCCTCAGCCTGGAAGACTTATAGAAGTACGGCCCGCAGGTACTCAGGAGATTGCAAACAAGAGTGGCTCGGAAAAATGAATAGGGCGGCTCGTCGATATTGGACGGGTCACGATAGACTCCCGGCAGGAGCAAGGGCTTCGAGCTTGAAGTGTCTGAATATTACCGTCATTACACGGACCAGTGTAGCAACAATAGCCAAAAAGGATATCATTGAATACCATTCTCCCACCTGATCGTTCCTCTCCTCCATCTTCATCGTCC